TTTATATATTCTGCCGGGTCAAAGGTTAGTGGAGGAAGTCTTAGAAACTAAAAGACCTAATTACTTCCCTAAAGTGAAAGTATTCATCAGAAAGGCCACAAACTAAGAGGGATTCTATTTAGGTTAATGTTGTTTGTCCTTCATTTTTGAAGAGGACCAATGACATAATGGGTGATAACTTGTGCATGAATTGAAGTGAGGCAGAGTTGCGCAAAGTTGTCAGCCTTACTCTCTCTTCCAGAGTCATTGAAGTCCAGTGGCAAGACAAAGGTCAAGACAGCTGGGGATGGCCTGGGATGCAGTGGATGACCTTGGGGTCTTTGGCCTCTGACCAAGCTCTCTAGTCTCCACCGTGACTGCTTCACGGCCATTGGAGCAAATTGTTCTCATCCACCCATTCCACCAGGCAGAGTCTTTAAGATTTCAGTCTGATAGGCAATGCTGTCTATTCTCAATATGGAATGAAAAGCAGGGGAGAAATTCAGCTGAGAGAGAGATTATAAAGAAATAGGATTGCTAACCAGATTCTACAGTGAAATTCTGTTACTTCAGTTAAAATGAATTCCCCAAATATTAAGCTCACCAATATTTAAATGTAATTTCAAAAACATCATCTCATCACTGGATGGGTCATTTCGGGAAAGGGTAGAGGACATATCTAGAAATGATTATGTTTAAAAACAAAAGGCAGCCGTAAAACTCATTTTTAAAAACACATTTCAAAGCTAAATGTGAATTATTTGGAGCCTCTTTGTACCTACTGTTTTCGCTCCATTAGCACAAATAATCAAATGCTGAAAATTCTGAATTTCCTGTAGAGACTTGAGGAAATCAAAGGAAACAAGTTTTGAGTTTCAGTGCAGGGGGCTTATGTGTGCTTCTCAGGGACATAAAGTGACCTGTGCCCAGGACCTACAAGGAGTCAGACGACAAGCCTGAGCAATAACACAGTGGGAATCCAAAGCTTCCTAAATGGTAGCTCTTCTGGATTCCTGCTGGGTTAGGCTCCGGCGCTAACTGGCTACATGACCCAGAACAGGTCACATCACCTCTGAGACTCAGTTTCCTCATCTGTAAAATAATACAACAATAATAATACCTAACTATTTCCGTCACAGGGTTGTTGCATGCCCCCCACCCCTCCCATTCTGGAAAATCTGTGTAAAATTTTTTTGCCCTCCCTTTGTACTGGAGAAGTCTGAATTTTTTCTTTTTCTTTTATGGGGTGTTTATGGTACCTTATTGTAAAATATGGGTGAAATATTTGGTTATAGACTCTGGGCCATCTGCTAGCTTTCATGTGTTGTCTTAGGCTTCCACAAAACTCCCCAAAAGTTCCTACTTAATTTCTTATGCCAACTTGCAACATATTGAAACCCCAATGGGGAAAGTTGAGATGTGGAAGGGGTAACTGTACTTTGTAATTCTGAAAGCACTACGTAAGCTAGGAGGCTAGGTAATGATAGAGTGCTGGGCCTGGAGTCAGGAAGACTCATCTTCCTGAGTTCAAATCTGGCCTCAGACACTTATTAGCTGTGTGAACCTGAAAAAAAAAATCACTTAATCACTGTTTGCCTCAGTTTCCTCACCTGTGAAATGGGTGTAATAATAGCAGCAGCTTTCCTAATGTTGTTGTGGGGATCAAATGAGATAATAATTATAAAGTACTTAGCACAATATCTGGCACATATTGGCATTGTATAAATGTTAGCTGTTATTATTATTCTTATTAGAGTTCCACAGAAGGACGCTGGAACTATCCTTACCACAGCATCAGGGATATGGGGACTGTATGGGTAAGATAAAAGTTGAATATTAGATAATAGGAATTCACTGTATGCCAGTCTGTACATCCTGGTTATTATGGGCCCTTCTGGTACCTAGAGATAGCTTTGTTATACAGAACCTTTCTTACAAAGGTGGTCATCATAATGCATCCCCAAGTTTTCTTTTTTTTTTTAATGTATTGGTGATTTTTGCTTTTTCTGCCCCTTTAACTTCCCAATAACTCTCCTCCCACACAGAGACCTCCCTTGTGACAAAGAAAATTAGTTATGCAAAATAAGCTTTTGCAGTCACCACGTCTAACGTTGCAGGCAGCATTCCACACCTGTAGTTCTCCTCTCTGTCTGGAGGAGAAAAGTGGTGACGCTACTTTTCAAAACCCAAATTCCTACATCATTCCATTTAAGTAATATTAACAGCAATATCATGTGATCGTCCCCCTCCCCCCAGTTTAATTCTTAAGACAGGGTGCAAATATTAAAAATCAAATTGCAAATCCATACAAAGCTTAGACCAATCACCTTACGAGGTGATGACCTGTAGAGTATGGAACACAGTGGCCACAAGGAGTTAATTAATTCCCATTAAAGGTGATGTGAAGGTAAGTGATTTGATATACTTCAGAATAAAATGGACACTGAGCTTTCTAATAGCTATTGAATCTTTAATAACAGCACCAGGTAGTGCAATAGATAGAGCACTAGGCTTAGAGCCAGGAAGACCTGAGTTCAGATTTAGCCTCCGATACTTACCAGCTGAGTGACCTTGGGCAAGTCACTTAACCTCTGTCTGCCTCACTTTCTTCATCTATAAAATGAGGATCATAATAATAGCACCTAATTCCCAGTATGTTGCAAGGATCAGATGAGATATTTGTAAAGCACTTAGTACAGTACCTGGTGCCATAGTAGGCACTTAATAGATGCTTGTTTCCTTAATTATTCTTTTATATTAAGAACCTTGGCCAATGAAGAGATTCTCTCTAAAAAGACCATCAGCCACTACAAGGCACATATTCCCTAAAAAAGTCAAGGTCAAAAAGGTGCCGTATGCTGCAAAATATTAGTAGCAGCATATTTTGTGTAGCAAAAACAGAGAAACAAAATAGGTGCCCACTATGGTGGGAGGAGGCCCAAGGATATGAAAGGATACATATATCTGCTAAAGGCTTTGTCCATTTGGCTTAGTTTTTTTACTTTGTTACAAGGGAGGGGTCAATGATGGGAGAAGGTTTAACCAGGAAATGACAGTAGTATTAAAAAAAAACCACCATGCATCAATAAAAGATAATTACAAACCTAACCAACTTGTCTTAATAAGTAAAGTAAAATGGAGACAGTAAACCCAGATTTATTCGCAAGCAGCTACTGCCAAATATGTTTCAGAACATAAAGATGGCAGGCTACTCCAGTTCTTTCTATGAGGCAAAAATCCCTAAATTGAACAAAGCCGAAACTTGGGTGGGGGGAACAGATAGAACAGTATCAATAATGAATACCAATACAAAAATATTAGATACAATGCTCACAAATGGAACAATAAGTCATTCAAAAAAGTAGCCATCACAACCAAGCAGGTAGAGAACTGGAATGTAAAGATGATTTATTATCAGTAAGATATATAATAAATCACATAAACAAGAGAAAAAATGGGACCCATGATCATATTAGATGCAGATTTTTCTGATAAAGTATAGCCTTTGATAAAATAAGCATTAATTTATGTTAAAATATGAGAACAAGATCTTTACTTAACATGCCTTTTTAAAGTATATATTTGACACTATGAGCTGGTTGTTTGGTTGTTGCCCTTTGTACAGGGTGTCTGATGGGGCTGATCAAACCCATACAAACTCAGAAGGCCCTGCCTCGGTTCTGACAGAAATCATCCACATGAACGTTGGGAGTGGAGATGTCTCTACATTTTCCCGTCTCGGGTTTCTTTGGACTACTGCAATTCTGCTTCACTCATTGAGCACAGCACCTTCTTTGATGCAGGCATACCATGCTGGGAGGTACTTTGCCAGTGTCTCCCAGTTAATCTTGTATGCAATGAAGACTTATGAGAAGCATTCCCTATAAAAAACAGGGGTGTCCATTCTTGCTGTAATAACAGCACTGTTATTGACACTGTTTGGAAATCTTAGCAAAAGCGTTAAGGTATGCATGAAAAAAGAAATTGCAGTAAGTATTGGAAATGAAGAAATTAAAATACTTCTATTTGCAGATGAAGTGGTGATATGCTTAGAAAACCTAAGATAATCAACAAAGTCATTAGTGCATGTAATAAATTGCTTTAGTAAAGTGGCAGGATATGAGATAAGCTCACGTACACCCTCTGTACCATCGAGAATCTAAGAAAACAGATACAGAAGTACTGTTTAAAAGCAGAGCAAAATGCATGTTATATTTAGGGATTAATTTGTCAAGCTATTCAAGGGGGAGAAAAAAACCTATTTGTACCCCAAATAGTGAGAGCTACTTTATTTATAATGACAAAAACAGGAAATGAACTGTATGTCCAATGACTTGAGGAATGGCTAAATAAGTTGTGTTACATAAGTGCAATGGAATATTATGGTGCCATTAAAAAAAAAGTTAATTCCTTGCATTCCTCAAACAAGACACTCCATCTCTGGACTCTAGGCACTGAAGTGTATTTTACTGGCTGTCTCCTGTGCCAAGAATATTCTCTGACCTCATCTCTTCCTCCTGGCTTCCTGCAAGTCTCAACTAAAACCCCACCTTCTACAGGAACCCTTAATTCTAGTGCCTTCCCTCTGAGACTATCTCCAGTTTATCCTGTATATTGCTTATTTGTACATAGTTGTTTGGATGTTGTCTCCTCCCATTAGACAGTGAGCTCTTTGAGAGCATGGATTGCCTTTTTCTCTCTTTGTGTCTCTAGAGCTTAGCCCAATGTCTGGCACATAGGGGCTTAACAAATAATTATTGACTGTCTGACAATCAGGAAATTTGGAAAGACTTTACAAAAGTAAGGCAAATCAAAATCCACCAAATCAGAGCTATGGGCACAATGACTATGTTTGTGTTACAAAAAAATTAAGCCAGAAGTATTGGAACTTCAGAAAGCTAGGTAGTGCTGTGGCGAGTGTTGGGCCTGAAGTCAGGAAGACTCATCTTTCAGAGTTCAAATCTGGCCTCAGACATTTCCTAGCTGTGTGACCCTGGGCAAGTCATTTAGCCCCATTTGTCTCAGTTTCCTCATCTGTAAAATTTGCTAGAGAAGGAAATGGCAAACCACCCCATTATCTTTGCCAAGAAAACTCATATGGGGTCCTGAAGAATCGAATACAACTGTAATGACTCAACAACAACAACATGGGGCATTTCAGAAGTCTTGAGAAGGAATGCCTGACCCATGTTTTCTGTGTTGTTTGCTAACTCACTAATTTCTGATTTGTTAAATCCTAAGGACTTTGTTTCGGATTTTATTCCTGATTTTATATGTTTGATTATTTGTCTTTGTTGTTGATTTTAAGTTTCAGTGATATAAAAATTTTAAAGACTAGTCTTTGATCTTTCCTGCAGCATATTTCTTAGCACTGTCTGAATTGTTCCTTTACCTTTATCATCACCATCATCATCACCTTCTTCATCTCATTGTGATACTTTTTAAGGTGATTAGTTTAGTTGAAGTAAAGCTAATGCCATTTTTCATCTTACTGGCCATCTCCACACCATTCTGCCTCTACTCTGACTGTCATCCTCACCTCTTTCCCATTGGAACCTTAGACTCAGCTCCTAGGGTGATGGCCTCTGATAGGTGTGTTCTCTCTTTGTCTTTCATGGAACTAGGCCTTCACACCCACTTCCCAGCCATTTCCACATCCTGCCCCATATGTATTGCCTTACCCCATTAGAATATCAACTTGAAGGTAGGGATTGTCTTGTTTAATTCTATTTGGATCCCCAGAATTTAGCACAATGCCTGGGCTAATAATGAATGCTCTATCATCCACCTAACCATCTATCTATCTATCTACATGACTATCATCTATTTATCTATGTATCTATGCATCTTTTTATTGATCTATCCTCTATTTATCCCCAGGACCCAGTATAGAGCACTGTATATAGTAGGAGTTTAATTTTTTTTATTTTAAATTTTAAAAAATTTAGTTGAGAACTTTGAAGCCAGGATAAATGGTTTCCTGGATCAGCTTTTATATCAACAGAGCAGACACCCATTTTTATTTGATAGGACTTCAGGCATGACCATAAGGCCTCCCTCTCCTTTACTTCTCTGGCTAATATAATAAATATAGACAACAGAAAAATAGAATTCATGATCATATCAGATGCAGATTTTTCTCATAAAATGTAACATTCATTTTCATTTAAAAACTGGAATAATAGGCTCTTTCCTTAACACAATATAAAAAATATTTTTAAAACTACAAGCTAATATCTTATATAATAAGGGAAATATGAAAAGTATTTCCATTTAAAAAAATAGATTGCCACTCTTGCGTCTATTGTTTGATATAATTTTAGAAATCTTAGCAATAGCAATAATGCGCCCTACCCCACTTCACCTCAAATTGGTTAATGCCTTAAATGTCACCATCAGCGCTTCACTAGTTTAATCTAAGACCTTGTTTTAAAATCCAAATTCCCCTGTAAGGGAAGGAGGGAGGAAGGATGTTACATTTTAAACTGTTGGGGCTTAACGTAAGTTAGTTTCAGCTCTTTAGGTGGTTTTGATGGGAATAAAGGTAGAAATCATAAGGACATTGGGGTAGCTAGATGTAGGTCAGGGTGGTGGAAAAGAATGTTACTGCCACAGGGAGCGGAGGCCCCGGAAGAGAGAGGTTTGAGGGTGCCAAAGGCACATTTGGCCCTTCTCACAGTTTGCCACCAAGGGAGCATCCTGTTGGCTTGTAACCGCTCCCACAGTAGCCTGGAATTGTTCTTTGCTACCGCCCCTTAGGACCTTGGCACTGCACACACAGACTGGGGCTGAGGCCTCATTGTGAAGGTTGCCTCCGGGGTGATGTCCAGGTCAGACTCTTTGATGCCTCGAGGCGGGTGGAAAGTGAATCTCTGAAGTAAGTTCACAAAGAATAGAAACATCTCCATCTTGGCTAGACTCTCCCCTAGACAAACACGGCAACCTACAAAGCAAAACGACGACAACAATAAAAAAATAAAACCCAGGCCTGAGGGTCCTGCTGCACTGAGGCTGAGTAAATAGCTATCTTGGGGGTGGGAGGGTATGATTTCATAGCTGTGGAAAGTTTCCCTTACCCCTTCCCACCCATCACACCTCCAATTCTTGCAGCCCCTAGTGTTCTCCAGTGGATGAGATCAGAGCTTTAAGTGCGGTGGGGGGACCATGGCTTTGCCCCGGGGTACCAACATCCAGGGCCTCCAGCCCACCAGTCTCACACCCAGATGACAGCTCCTTCTCCTTTCCTCAACCCTAGGGTCCCCTTGCTGGAATCTCTCTTCCAGAACCCACCTTCCCCTACTTCTGTATCCCTTCTTCCAGGGGTCTATTGTCTGGGCCCTGGAGGCGTGGTCTATACTGTCTGAGGGATGGGCCTCCTCCTTCGCTTCTGGAATTACTGCCCCAGGGAGACATACTATCTTCTGTGCTGTCCACTTGCTCCCTTTCCTCTCCACCCTCACCCCTACATTCTCACTGGATATAAGAATTTGTTATTATTCTATCTGAAATCCCTACCACTGGACTGAGGATGCTTTTCAAAATAAACACACCGGTGGATAGAGCACCAGCGCTGAAGTCAGGAGGACCTGAGTTCAAATGTGGGTTCAGACCAAATGCTTGACCCTGGGCAAGTCACTTAACTCCAATTGCCTTAAAAAAAAATAAACACACTAGTAGAGAGAAAGGAAGCATAGAATATAGAGGAACGATCACCTGAATCAAATTCTGGAGAACTGGGTGCTAAAAAATTTCACCTCCTGAGTCATAACCCCATCATGAGGCAGCTGGTGGTACATTGGACAGGGAACTGGTCTTAGGGTCAGGTCAGCAACACCCAAGTTCAAATCTGGCCTCAGACGCTTACTAGCTGTGGGACCCTGAGCAAGTCACTTCACCTGTCTGCCTCAGTTTCCTCATCCATAAAATGAGCTGGAGAAGGCAATGGCAAACCACTCCAGTATCTTTGTCAAGAAAACCCCAAATGGGATCACAAAGAGTTGAAAACAATTGAATAACAACAAAATAGGGATATAAAGTGAGGAAACTGAGGCAAACAAGGTAAGTAACTTGCCCAGGGTCATACGGCTATTAAGTAAGTGTCTGAGGTCAGATTTGAATTCATGAAGAGGAGTCCTGACTCCAGGCTTGGCACTCTATCCACTGTGCCATCTAGCTGCCATTGCAGGCATTATTCTCAATTCACATATCAGCAAACAGAGAGGTTAAGCGACTTTTCTGGTCCTAAGGCTAATAAGTCAGAAGGAGGATTTAGCTTCAAGTCTTTTCAGATTCCAAGTCCAGCATTCTTCCCACTATACCACGGTTCCTTTCCTGGGATCCCATAAGAGTACAAGGAACGGCACTCTATGTGGTTGTTGTGAAGATCAAATGAGATAATACTTGGAGGGTTTTTTTTAAAGTGAATAACAGTGGCACATAATAGGTGCTATAATGTTTATTCACTTCCCCTTCCCCCTACTCCAATTTGTGAAATTAGACTGGACTAGATGATCTCTATGACCCCTGCTAACTTTTTGATTTCTCAGGGTGGGGGGCATATAATTGATTGTGCACTGGCACTTTGGCACAAATTAATTGATCAGATTAGCCATTTCATTCGAATATGAGAGAGCTGAGGGAATGGGACCGGGTCAGGTCAGTTGGAAGGCAGGTGAAGGTCAGAGCCTGGTGTGGTTGGCACAGTATGTAGGCTTAGGGATGTAAGCATGCGGGAGGCTTGGGGGTCGGGGAATGGATGAGATGGGTCTCAAACAGGGAGGAGGTCCTTAAAAGGGGAGGAAGAAGAAAGAATTCAAAATAAACTTGACCTATTATTTTACAATTCTGCCAACTTAAGATTCTGCTCAACTCCAGTGCCACTTCTTCCAGGGAGTCTCCTTGATACCCCAGTTTTAACTTGTGCTGTGCCATGCTTATTCCTCTGCACATTGTATCTTCCTCCAGCCTCCCAGAATGTAAATGTCTTTTGGGCTGCTTGTATCTCTAGCATCTTCTAGCCCCATGCTTTGTAAATAGTATTGAATGGAAGTATTTATTTTAGTGGAAAAAACACTGGCCCAGAAGTCTGAAGACCTGGGTTCTACTCCTGACTCTACTGCTAGCTCTCTGTGCATACTTAGACTTCCTTCATTTCTCTATGCCTCAGTTTCTTCATCCATAAAATGGGGATAATGGCCACTTACATCACAAGGATAGTGTGAGGAGGGCTGAGAGGGTATCCTCAAGTTCATCTAGTCCAAACCCTTCATTTTACAGGTGAGGAAACTGAGGCCCAGAGAAGAAAAGTAATTTGTCCTTAGAATTAGCAAGCAGTCGAACTGAGATTCAAACCAGTTTTTTAATTTCAAAACCAGAATTTCTAAGTATACAGAAGTGTGTTGAAAAGCATAGGTGGCCTGGAAAAATGTGAATTGTGATCCTTACCAATGGAGAAGGGAAGGAAAGCTGGCTTTTTCACAAAGTTCCCATCTGCATCCAAGAAGTGACGGGGGTTGAACTCATTTGGGGTCTCCCACTGAGTCTTATCAAGAAGCACAGAAGTGAGCAGAGGAATTACAGGAGTGCCCTAGAAGAGAAGTGGGGATGGGGAGCATGGATGAATGGAAACACTTTGGATTTAATGATCTATTTTCACATCAATTAATAATATTAATTCATTAATATTAATAATAGCCAGTATTTATATATCACTTTAAGGTTTGCAAAGTGCTCTATAGGGTACAGGGCCTGGAGTCAGGAAGACTCATCTTCCTGAGTTCAAATCTAACCTCAGACATTTGCTAGCTGTGTGACCCTGGGCAAGTCACTCCACCCTGTTTGCCTCTGTCTCCTCATCTATAAAATATACTGGAGAAGAAAATGGCAAACCACTCCAGTATCTTTGCCAAGAAGACCCCAAATGGGGTCACAAAGAGTTGGGCACACCTGAAAAAGACTAAACAACAATAATTACTACTACAAATATTGTCTCATATGATCGTCATGACAACCCTGGGAGAAAGGTGCTACTACTATCCTGTTATAGATAAAGAAACTGAGGCAGGCAGACTTTAAATGACTTGTCTCACACTGGCACAGCTAGTAAGCATTTAAAACTGGATTTGAACATAATTCTTCCTCACTCCAGTGCTCTATCCACAAGGTCATCTAATTGCCTCAAATAGTAAAAATAGTGTCAGACTGGAAGTTGCAGAGAAGGTACTAATCTTCATGGGTAGAGAAAGTTCTCCATAGTAACTCCTCACACCAATAAAAATCCTTGGCCCCCAACAAAGCCAGCTTAATTTTTTTTTGGCAATCATGTAAAACATTTTCATATTAGTCATTTTGTATAAGAAAGAAAGAAAGAAAGAAAGAAAGAAAGAAAGAAGGAAGGAAAGAAAGAAAGAAAGGAAGGAAGGAAGGAAGGAAGGAAGAAAAAATACTTCAGTTTGTATGCAGACAACATCAGTTCTTTCTCTGGAGGTGGATAGAATTTTTCGTCACGTGTCCTTTGGGATCATTGTATTGCTGAGAATAGCTAAGTTATTCACAGTTCTTTATCGTAATATATATGTATATGTAATATATACATATATATTACATATATATAAATAAAATTTTTTTTTGGTGAGGTAATTGGGGCTAAGTGACTTGCCCAAGGTCACACAGCTAGTATGTGTCAAGTGTCTGAGGCCAGATTTGAACTCAGGTCCTCCTTACTCCAAGGCTGGAGCTTTATCTACTGCACCACCTAGCTGCCCCTTTATCATACAATATTGCTGTTACTGTGTACGATGGTCTCCTGGTTCTGCTTACTTCACTTTGCATCAGTTTGTGTAAGTCTTTCCAGGTTTTTCTGAAATCATTCTGTTCGTCATTTCCATCACAGTCATATACCACAACTTGTTCAGCCATTCCCCAAATGATGTATTTTTTTTTTACTTTGTATTTTCTAACAGAATATAATCTCCTGGAGGACAAGGGCAATTTTTCATTTTGTCTTTGTGTCCCCAGCACCTACCACAGTGACCCACACATAAAAAGATACTTAATAAATATTTGTTCAATTAAATTGACTCTTTTCCACTCTCCTTAATGGCAGCTAGACGGGTTGCAATGGATAGGGGATAAGACCTGGAGTCACCTTGTGCAAGTCACTTAACCTCAGGTTGCTTCAGTTTCCTCATCTATAAAATAGTGGTAGCACCAACATCCCAGAGTTGTTGTAAAGATAATATTCACGGGGGCAGCTAGGTGGCGCAATGGATAGAGCACCGGCCCTGGATTCAGGAGGATCTGAGTTCAAATGTGAACTCAGACACATAGCACTTACTAGCTGTGTGACCCTGGGCAAGTCACTTAACCCCATTGCTTAGCCCCCCGCAATAATAATATTCATAAAATGTTTTGCAACTCTTAAAGCGCTGCATAAATGCCTGTTATTATTATTACCCAAAGCCTGCCTGTCCTCTTATTGGTCCTCACAGCCTCAAAAATGCTGGCTCTTGACTTCTATGTGATATAAATGCTTAAAGGGCATAGGATCATAGATTTAAGGTCAGAAGGGCCATCCAGTCCAACCCCATCATTTCAGAGGATACGGAAACCTAGAGAAAGAAAATGATTTTCCCAAAGTCACCTGATAGTAAGTGTCAGAATTGGAATTTTAACAGAGGTCCTGTTTCCTACTTTTCCCATACCAGACTCCCTTGACCTCTGGATTGGTTTTCCACGATGGACCATGACAAATAGTTCACCTTACTAGAGACAAGAAGAAGCCTCTTGGAGAGAGGAACTCTTCTTTGTGTTTGGATTCAGAACCTGAAATCTCAAATATTCAAATATTCAATGCCTCTTGTTCCTTGGGGCAGAATAGGCTGCTTTTCCCTGGGGTTGGTTGCTGGCTGCTCCTACCTGAGGAAGGCTCTGAGCGAAGTAGGCAAACTATGCATACCTTTTGACCCAGCCATACCTCTAATGGTCCTCCATAGAACCCAAAACAGATGCTTTCAAAGAGAATCAATCTCACATTCTTTTTTTTTCCTTCTTTTCTTTGGTGAGGCAATCAGGGTTAAGTGACTTGTCCAGGGTCACACAGGAAGTAAGCTTCAAGTTTCTGAGGCCAGATTTGAACTCAATTCCTCCTGACTCCAAGGCCTGAGCTCTGTCTACTACGTCACCTAGCTGACCCTGAGAATCAAATCTCAAAATAGTTTCCAATAACTCAAACCTCCAAATAGTTCCAAATAAATCAAAGAAAAGAATCTAGATGCAAAATAATAATTACAGCAGCTCTTCTTTTTTTTTACTCTGTGTTGTTTTTTTTTTTTGGTGAGGCAATCGGGGTTAAGTGACTTGCCCAGGGTCACACAGCTAGTAAGTGTCAAAGGCCAGATGTGAACTCAGGTCCTCCTGACTTTATCTGCTGCACCACCTAACTGCCTCTATAGTAGCTCTTCTCATGGTGATCTAGAATTGGAAAGTAAGGGGTTCTTCTCCCATTGAGAAGTGGCTAAACAAATTATGGCGTATGAATGTAATGGGATACTACTGTAACGTAAGAAATGATGAAATAAATCGTTTCAGAGAAAACCGGAAAGACTTCTATGAACTGATGCAGAGAGAAGTGAGCAGATCTAGGAGAATGATGTATACAATGACAACATTCTACAGAAAAACACCTTGGAAAGACTTTATTTATTTTGGGGGGTGACAATCGGGGTTAAGTGACTTGCCCAGAGTTACATAGCTAGTAAGTGTCTGAGCCCTATTTTTTTGGGGGGGGAGGGAGGACTAGGCAATGCGGTTAAGTGACTTGCCCAGGGTCACACAGCCTATTTTGAACTGAGGTCCTTCTGATTCTAGGCCCAGCACTCTATCCACAGCGCCCCCTAGCAGAAAGATTTTAGAACTCTGATCAGTGTAGTGATAAACTATGAATCCAAAAGTATGAAGATGAAACATGCCACTCACCTCCTGCCAGAGAGGTGATGAACTTGAAATGCTGAAGGAGGAAGACATTTTTGACTTGGCTAATGTGGAAATTTGTTTTGCTAGATTACCAAATTATGTATTAAGGGTTTTATTTTTCAGGGTTGTTTTTATTTATTCAATGTAGGTAGGAGAAGGGATATTGGGAAGTAAAGATTAATTTTGAAGAAACACATTAATTTAAAAAATTTAAAATAAATAGTTATTTAAAATGTAGCTATTTTACTAGCTGTGTGATGCTGGGCAAGTTACTTAATCCCAATCACCTCACCAAAAAGAAAAAAAAATGTAGCTCTCTCACTATTTTATGGATAATGTTCCATGGCACCATCCGAAAGGCAGTTAAAATGGTTACTATTTGTGATTGAATAAAAGTTTGAGGATATAAAGTCAAAAGGAGGAGGCAGTTTTTGGTTTTGTCCAAGCTTGTAATTTAATTTGTGTTGAGTAGCTCCCTCTATCCATGTAAATGATCAATTCATTTATAATTTATTGTCTTGGAGAGTTTCCTGGAATGCCTAGTGATGAAATGACTTGCCTACAGGCATGCAGCTAGCATGTGTCAAAAACAGGAACTTGAACTCTGCTCAGGCTGACTATAAATCCAGTCCTGAATTCACTACCTATTTCTCAAAAGGGAAATTAGGAGGTTTTAAAGACCATTGGAAACTAACTGTGGGGTTTTTTTCCCCTCTGATAGTATCAGAAAAATGGAAAGGGCATTGAAAGAAAATGAGTGCTTTGGGAAGAAACTGGGAAGCTGTCTGAAGCATCTTACCTTAATCAACAAGCATTTAAGTGCCTGCCCTCAAGATTCTTACATTCCATACCAAGAACAAACGATTTTGAGTCTGGGTTCTTTTGGAGGCTCTCTGGAATCTAACAAAAATAAGGAGGGTCTTCTGTGTCCATTGTAGCTATGAATATTTGCAAATGTTCATTTGTAACAAACAAGCCATTCATCAGGCAACAAGCTCACAGATGTCTGGCTATGCGAGGGATGAAGGATGAGTTTGAAATGAATGAGACAGAAAACATGGGCCCAGAGGAGCCATCCTTTCTGCACTCCTGTGTGTGTGATACAGTTCAACCATCCATCCCTGAACAAGTAGTGAGCATCTATAGCATGTCTGTTGCTGTTGTTGTTAAGTTGTTTCAGTCACATTCAACTCTTCATGACACATTTAAGGTTTTCTTGGCAAAGATACTGGAGGGGTTTGCCATTTCCTTCTCCGGTTCATTTTACAGAAGAGGAAACTGAGGCAAACAGGGTTAAGTGACTTGCCCAGGGTCACCCAGCTAGTAAGTGTCTGAGGCCAGATTTGAACTCGGGAAGATGAGTCTTCCTGACTCCAGGCCTAGCGCTCTATCCACTGTGCCACCTAGCTGCCCATTATGTGTTGTCAGGTGCTAAGCTCCGGTAGGGATACAGAGGAAGTACAAAACAGCTTTCTTGTGGTCCATAGTCATGGACTATCTTGAGCAACCATTTCCTAAGTGTATATACCCTTGGCTACCAAAAATATGCGGATGGTTCAACTCAGATCCAGCCTCACTATCAGGAAAATCACTCAAAGGCATTTCAGTCTCATAGTACGTCAGAAATGTCATACACAAATGGGATTAAATGTCCCCAGATGGCAACATGTCATTATTCAGTGCAGCACCTAGCCTCTGCTCTACCTCCCCTTCTCCATCTTCACCTTCCTCCTCCTTTTGGGAGCTCTTCTTTAGTGAATGATCCCTGAGTCACCATGGGATACTCCCCTCTCCACTTTCTTCTCCTGACCCACATCCTTGCAAGCTCCCCCGTGACCCCTTGTGTCTTAGTTCCCTAGACTAATATCTGGCTTGAGATTTCTAGGTTATAGGTTGGATGTGAATCATAATGTTCTTCACTTGATAATTAGTGAATTAGATAATACTTTAGATACTTATTTACCCTAGCACCTAGCCCAGTGCCTGACACATGCTGTTGTTTTTCAGTCATGTCGGACTCTTTGTGACCTCATTTGGGGTTTTCTTGGCAAAAATGCTGGAGTGGTTTGCCATTTCATTCTCCAGCTCATTTTACAGATGAAGAACTGAGGGTAAAGTGACTTGCCCAGGGTCAAACAGCTAGTAAATGTCTGAAGTCAAATTTGAACTCAGATCCTCCTGACTCCAAGGCTTGTGCTGTATCTATGATGCCACCTACCTGCCCCAAGCACATAGTAAATGCCTAATAATGATTCCTTGTTGATGTATTCATACTAATAAACATTAAATAGAGACAGACGATGCAAAATTAATTTCCTGGTGGACTTTGGAATCAATATAGTAATCAACACGTGTTTTGGGGGCCCCCTTGAAACCAGCTCTGTTAAATGCTATAATACACCAGCTGGTGTTTGTTTTTTTATCCCCTAGTTGATTGACTTTCCAAATTCTGGTCAGACCAACATCAAAATTATTTTGCTGACATTAAAATTCATTCACATTCTCTCTAAACCCACATACACGGCTGGAAAGTTCAGAAAAGGGTAGAAAGGAATTCTTCAAGTCTGCTTCCTAGCATCTTGGTAGTTAAAATGTTTAAAAGCTAATCTACATAGAGCTAATCTGGGGCCCAATGTCAGCCAATCATCTAGTCAATCATTCAGTCTGTCAGTGAGTCACAAGCATGTATTAGGCACTTGCAACGAGTCAGGGTCTTCCTGTCTCATGAAGCAGATAAAGTCCTTACCAAATAGTCTAAGCCTATGATCTGCAAATATTTGAATAATTTCAAAAACTCTTTCAGAATGTCTCGGAATTTCACAAAAACCCAGGTCATTTGAGGCAGTGAGATACAGTAGAAAGAAGGGCTCTGGAATTAGATGACATTGGTCAACTCATTTAATTTCTCTGGGTCTCAATTTCCTCATTTGCAAGATGAGACCGTTAATTGGGCCAGATGGCCTCTGGATCCCTTCCAGCTCCAGAGCTATGGTTCTATGATCAATCTCAGCCTAATTCTAGAAGGATGTAGGGACACACACACAAAATTTAACTGTGGGTATTTGTTCCAGCTCATGAGGTTTTCTTATCTGGACTCTGCTCTGTATGTCTGGAGGTTGATTGGGATGAACTTGATAAAGAGGATGAGACCAGGCAAAGCAACACTCTGTCTGATCCTAATTTATACCCTGCTCCTGACCACACCCTACTCCTAAATCCTACAATGTGTTTCTTTTAGCATGGGGAATTGAACTGATACCTTGTATCCAATACTAGTCTACTATGTGTGTGTGTTGTTATTGTTGTTCTTGATGATGATGTTGTTGTTTTAGTGAGGCAGTCAGGGTTAAGTGACTTGACCAGGGTCACACAGCTAGTAAGTGTCAAGTGTCTGAGGCCACATTTGAACTCAGGTCCTCCTGACTCTATCCACTGCACCACCTAGCTGCCCCTGATACTCTGGTATAAGAAATAGAAGGAGATGCTGTAACAGTGAGCAGTATTCTGGGGGCAGGCTGTACCATGCAGGGAAAAAAAATGGGAAGTAATAGATAAAGTCTGTTGGGGAACTCACCTATGTGAAGGGACAGAGCTGTTACACACCTTTTCTTCTCCCCTCAAATCTCCCATAACCCCTGACTTCCCCCTTCTACTAAGGACCTCTCCTCATACTTTACGCACTGCCTTCTTCTCAGTTCCCATAACTATACCCAGCCCTACTTCTGAGCTCCAGTCCCCCATAACCGACTGCTTCTGGGACATCTCAAATCCAACATGTCCCAGACAGAACTCATTGTCTTTTGTCCCCAAATTATCCACTCTTCCAAACTTCCCTATCCCTCTTGAGAACACAAGCATCCCCCAAAGTGATCAGGCTCACTTAGCCTGGCATGATTCTTGACTCGTTCTCACTCATCTCACCTAGCCAATCCACTGCAAATCTTGTAATTTCTCCCCTCCTAGCATCTCTCCTCTCTCTACTCACAGAGCTACCACGCTGGAACAGGCACTCATCACCTCTCCTCTGGACCATTGCAATAGTAGCCAATATTTATACATGCTTACTGTGTATAAGCACTTTATATACATATATACACATATATATATATACATATATATGTTATATATATTATATATATTTATATGTAAAGTGCTAAGCACTTTACAAGCATTATCTCATTTGATCCTCACAACAACCACGGGAGGGGGGGCTATTGTCATCCCCATTTTACAGATAAGGAAACTGAGGTAAATAACAGTTAAGTGACTTGACCAGAGTTACACAGCTACTAAAGGTCTGAGGCTGAATTTGAACTCAGGTCTTTTTTCAATGTTCCCCAGCTCATAGTGATTTCTCCTTTGAGACTGCCTTCCAGCCACTTCCTTATCTGGTATGTATCTGGTTATTTACATGTTGTGTCCCCCATTAAAATATGAGCTTCTTGGGCAGAGGGAGTATTCTGGTCTTTTTTGGATCCCCATTGCTTAGTATGGTGTCTGACCCACTGTAAGCATTTAACTGTTGTTGACTGACTGACTGACTGGCAAGATAAGACGGTTAGCATTTATGTAGCCCTTTGAAACTGAAAATGCTCTTTACAATTCTCATCTCATTTTATCCTCACAACTCTGGGAGGTAAGAGCTATTATCTTCCTCATATTGTTGCTATTGAGTTGCTTCAGTCATGTCCTATTTTCTGTGACCCCATTTGGAGTTTCCTTGGCAAAATTACTGGAGTGGTTTGCCATTTCCTTCTCCAGCTCATTTTACAGATGAAGAAACTGAGGCAAATGGGGTGAAGTGACTTGCCTAGGGGTCACACAGCTAATGAGTGTCTGAGGCTGGATTTGAACTCAGGTCTTCCTGACTCCAGAGCCAGTATTCAATGATGTTAATTTACAATAATCTAATCTAATAGATAATCTAATAATGGTAATTTACAAGATGTAAATTCTTTGATCAAAACACAGATTAAAGTCATGTTTTCAGGAAAAGTTTACCTTGGGGAGAAAGTACCCTCTGAAATGGGTGTCCACCGATGTGGAATGAGGGACGTGGGGAAGAAGAGCAATGAATCTCTGAATTTCATGAATAACTGCATTGGTGTAAGGCAATGCCTTTCGGTCTTCATACTCTGGCAGCCTGCTTGCTCCTAGTACTCGGTCCAGCTCGTCTTTTACTTTGGCTAAACGAAAAGATACAAAGGGTTTAGTCTGACCTGGTCCATTTTATGCTTCTGCTAAGAGTGACTCTTCTGGTCAAATCTCCATCCGTATAAAAACATGGGAGATGGAGGCAGAGAACTCCCCTTAGGAGAGTGTGTCTGCGCTCCACAGCACTTGCCGTAAGCCAGAAATTTAGGTAAGTGATCATGTCACTTCCCTACTCAATAAACTCCCCGATACCCTATCACCTCCAGAATCAAATGCAAAATGCTCTGTTTGGCATTCAAAGCCCTTCATAACCTAGCCTCCTCCTACTTTTCCAGTGTTCTTATGCCTTATTCCCTAACATACTCTTCTATCCAGTGATGCTGGCTTCCTGGCCAGTGCCAAGATGCTCCATCTTTCTCAGTTCAGAGAATTTTCCCTAGCTGTCCCCTCCCCCTAGAATTCTCTCCCTTCTCTGCTCTGACTACTGACTGCCCTGGATTCTTTTAAGTCCCAACAAAAAGTCCATCTTTTATTGGAAGTTTATATTCCCTCTTAATTCTAGTGCCTTCCCTCTGTTAATTATTGCCTAGTTATCCTGAATGTAGTTTGCTTTGTATATATTTGCTTGCATGTTGTTTCCCTCGTTAGATTGTAAGCTTCTTGAGGCCAGGCACTGTCTTTTGCCTCCTTTTGTATCCCATGTGCTTAGCCCAGACCTTGAACATGTTGAGTTTTCAGTTGTGTCCAACTCTTTACAACCTCATTTGGAGTTTTCTTGATAGAGATACTGGAATGGCTTGCTATTTCTTTCTCCAGCTCATTTTACACATGGGGAAACTGAGGTAAACAGGGTTAAGTGACTTGCCCAGGGTCATACAGTTAGTGTCTGAGGGTGGATTTGAACTCATGAAGATGAGTCTTCCTGACTCTAGGCTCAATCAATCAATCAGCATTTATTAAGTGCCTACTATGTTCTAGTTACTTAATAAATGTTTATTGATTAATTACTTGATAAGAAGAAAACAGATCTTTTTAAAGTCACTCTTTCATCCAATATTGAGACCAATGACCAATTTTCCCCTCCCCCATGTCCTGTGGGACTAGAATTAGAAGAAACAGGATTAAAATATATAGGAAAGGCAATCAAACAACAGGCATTTATGAGGTATCTAGATGTATCAGGCAGGATGCTAGGTGTTTGAAGTGTGACATAGTGGAAAGAATGCAAGATTTAAAATTAGGAAGACTTGGGTTCAAATCCCACCTCCAATAGCTGCTAGTCATGTGATTACAGGCATATTATTTAACCTTCTGGGCAGCTAGGTGGCATTGTAGGTAGAGCACCAGGCCTGTAGTCAAGAAGACCTGAGTTCAAATTTGACCTCAGATACTTACTATCTGTGTGACCCTGGACAAGTCACTTGACCCTATTTGCTTCAGTTTCCTCATCTGGAAAATAAGCCACAGAAGGAAAAGGCAAACTACTCCAGGATCTTTGCCAAGAAAACCCCAAAAGGGATCACAAAGAGTGGGACATGACTGAACAACAAAATTTAACCTCGGCATTTTAAATGAAAGTAATAGTGCCTGTAGTAACTGCTTCATGGGGTTGGGTCACGTGGGAGGCTTTGTTTTGTTTGGTTTTGTTTTGGGGTGCAGAAGTGTGATTTAATTAGTTTGGAGAATCTCCATCAAGGAAACTCCCTCTACCTAAGTAGATCAGCAATTGCTAGATAACTTAGAGTCTTAGGGCACCAAGGTTAGGTGATTTCTCGCTGCCCATGGGTAATGGAAATTCAGTCTTCTAGGGGGAAAATCCCTAGCACTAGATGCTGTTTTACACCCAGTGCATCAGTTAGAGGAAGCCAGGGCTCCATCCATCAATGCATTTCTACAGGCTTGTTTTGAGGATCAAATGAGATAACATAAATGTCTCAAAAATGAGATAAGATGTATTTATCTTTGCAAACCGCAAAGGTATCTCAGTGCCAGCTGTTAGGCAGCCTGGAATCTCTTAAGACTCCAGGCAACACTTAAGAGCTAGATGACCCAGTTGATAGCATACAGGGCCTGGAATCTGGAAGATCTGAATTCTGGCCTTGGACACCTGCTCTATGACCGCAGGCAATTCACTTTATATCTCTTGGCCTCAGTTTCTTTTCTGATAAAGTGGGGGTAGTAATGGCACCTACCTCTCAGGTAGGTATGGTGCTTTGCAAACCTTAAAGTGCTAGCTATTATTATGTCACCTATGAATTGCTGATCTATATTAGTGAAGGGTTTCTGCATTGGGAGTTCTTCACAATAATAAGTTCATAATTATTATCTTGAGGATTCAGCTTAGCTAGAAGGAAAAGCTGTCTGCCAATTTCATGTTACAACACTTGGTGCAGAGCTCATTATCCTTTCCCCAACCCTTTCCTTTCCTTCTCAGCTTTCCTATTGGCTCCATCCATCCCCCCAGTCACTCAGAGTCAAACCCAACCTCCAAGTCGTCTTCAGCTCCTCACATTCACCCCACATATTCAATCTGTTGCCAAATCTTTTCCTTTTGTCTATGTCCCCTTCCCCTACTCACCCCCTTAGCGTTTTGGGACAGGCTATGGGACAGTCATCTTCTCATGCCGGGAATCTTGGTATAGCTTTCCAGCTAGTCTCTGTCCTCTCGGCTTTCAAAGTGATCTTTCTGAAGTGCAGGACTGACATTGTCACTCCCCTACTCAATAAACTCCAAAGAGTCCTGATTAGCTCCAGCAACAAATATACAAAGCTCTGTTCAGCTTTTGAAGTCCTTCATAACCTGGCCCCTTCCTATACAATCCAGGTGCATTGGACTTTTTGCTCCTTCTTGTGCAGGACTCTCCAGCTCCTAAATCTGTACATTTTCACTGGGTATCCCCCAAGCCTGGAATTCTCTCCCTCCCTTTGGCCTCTCCTTCCTGGCTTTCCTGGCTTCCTTCAAGACTCAGCTCAAATTTCACCTTCTTCAAGTGGTCTTTCCTTCTTCTCTTCCCATTTCTATGCAAACACACGTGCGCACACACACACACGTGCACACACAAATGCACACACAGAGCTAGTGCCTTCCTTCTGAGATTAGATCCCATTTACACTGTATATATGTTTTTATGTTTGTTGTTTGCACCTTATACTCCCCATTAGATGATGAGATCCTTGAGGGCAGGGAAGGTTTTTTCTCTTTATTTTCATCTTCAAGGCTTATACAATGCCTGGCACATAATAAGCACTTAATAAAAGATTGTTGATTGACTGTTATACAGTGGGGGAAATGGTCCTAAAGAATGTTTTCTAGGATAGAGTGCTAGCCCTGGAGCCAGGAGGACCTGAGTTCAAATCCGGCCTCAGACACATAACACTTATTAGCTGTGTGACTCTGGGCAAGTTACTTAACCCCATTGCCCAGCCCCCCCCCCAAAAAAAGGGCCCTGGCTCTCAGGATTTTTGTAAACACTGATAATTCACTAAATAAACAATGCCATTTGGTTGACTACTAGGTCTTAGTAGGGACACCAAGAGGAGCATCTAGGGAAACCCAGCTATAGTAGCACAAATTAACTTATAAATTAGTTCCTTTGAGCTTTGGGCTAACAAGCAACTTGGCAGTAACCTGAGGTCCTCCAACAGGCCACACAGCAAAGCTTTCCCTCCAGCCAGCTTAGCTAGAAAGAGAAGACACGGCCAGCGCTACTTGAAACAGAGACTCACCCTGGACCTCTGGGTATTTAGCCATGAGCAGCACAGCCCACTGCAAGGAGGTAGATGTAGTCTCAGTACCAGCCATCACCAGGTCAAGGATGGAGGCAACAATGTTTGCATCCGAGAAATAGGTCTCTGCCTTTGGTTCCTTCAAAAACAAGTGACCTTGGTTAGCATCACAAGCTACTTCTCCAGGCCATTGCCCTGGGGTGGCAGGTGTTCAGCCCAGTGTTGAAGCTTCCCCAGCTTCTGCCCATACTGCCCCCACAAGTGAGCATGGCCTTGCACTTGGCAAGTGTTGGAGATTTGGATCTGTACCAGGAGGGTAAGAAGGTGAAAGGAAGGAAAACATCACAAAGCTTCAGAACAGGAGTATGAACAAAATAATTAGACATTTTATAGGATCATAGTATAGAGCTGGAAGATAACCCCAAAGCTACCTAGTCCAACCCCTCTCATTTTACAGGCAGCTAAATGTGCATAGAGCACTAGACTTAGAATCAAGAAGAATCAACTTCAAATCCTGCCTTTGACACTAGCTGGGCAAGTCACTTAACTTATGCTTGCCTCAGTTTCCTCATCTGTCAAATCACAATAGCATCTACCTTCCAGTGTTGTTGCAAGGATCAACTGAGATAATATATGTAATGTGCTATTTATATATGCTAGTAATTATTATATTATACATTATATTATTGTATATTACAATGGCTAGTTATTATATACCATAAATGCTAGTACTTATTGTTGTTGGTGTTAATGAAGAAATTGAGGCCCAGGAAGGTTGTGACTTGTTTATAGTCACAGAAGTAGTAAGCATCAGAGAAGATGGGATTTGAACTGAGGTCCTCTCGCTACAATGTTAGTACTTTTCCGTCTGTGCCATTTTGTGTGCAAATAGATCACAAAAGCAAACTATATGTAAATGTCATAAAAACACACAGTCTCATATACCTGGATGTGACCCTTGAGAAGATCCTAGGGGAGACCTATTAGTTAAGTATGAGATCATACCCCTTTAAAAAGTATAAATTATGGGGTGGCTAGGTGGTGCAATGGATAGACCTCTGGCCTTGGAGTCAGGAGGACCTGAGTTCAAACCCAGCCTCAGATGCTTGACACTTACTAGCTGTGTGACCCTGGGCAAGTCACTTAACCCCGATTACCTCACAAAAAAAAGCAAAAAAAAAAAAGTACAAATTACTAGAAAAGCCAGTGGGAATATAATGGAAGGAAAAATGGACTAAGGAAACCTGGGTTCAACTCCTGGTTCTGCCACCATGTAACCCTAAGCAAGTCATTTCACCCCTTGGTCTTTGGTTTTCTAGCCTGTAAAATGAGGGTCGGACTAGGCGATCTTGAAGGTCAGCTCTGGTGAAGGGCACAATAGCATTAAGAATACCTCACTCTGCTTCTGCATCAGTGCATCAATGTAGCTTGTGACGTATCCTCCTGGGATGTGCTGTCTACTGGCCACCATGTAGTTCCTTAGTATGACTCTCACCTCTTCTATTTTTACTAAGATTGTTTTGTGGGGTTTGAGGAACCATCCGAGGAAGGGGTAGAAGTTAAACAACTAGTTTTAAAGGAGAAGAAAAACATGAATAAATCCATGAGGAAGAACCAATACATGGAGCCCAGGATGCTAAGGCATAAAGCCACTAACAATCCATGGGAAATTCTGTTTATGCTGGGATTCAGGGGCTGGAGCAGTAGCTACCTCCTTTTCCTTAGTGCTACTCTAACCCTCTCCTTCTACCTCTCTACTCCAAATCTCTGGGTGGCTTTTACAAATGAGGCTGTCTAGGGAGGGACCTGAGCTCTCTGGTTAATGCCTAAAGATCATTAGCATCTAATTAACATGTACTTTGGTGTAAACAGAAGAAATGAAAGAACAAAGAAAAATATGGAGCTTAAAGAGAGAGTAGCCAATTTACAAGATGGCACCCATAGGCATTTGGGTGGCAAGGTGCCTTTGGGGGCAATGGAGGAGGCAGACAGTGACCCTGAATTTCCCAGTCACCGCACCTGCTAATATCTTCTTGTCTGAGATTCCCTTCCATTTATACTGTATCATCTATGTACCTAGTTATTTATATGTTACCTCCCCCATTAGTTGTGACCTACTTAAGGGCAGTGATTATTTTTGCCTCTCTTTGTATCCCTAGCACTTAACACAGTGCCTAGAACACAATAAATACTTAATATTAATATAAACTGAGTAACTATAATACCTTCCATAGAACTGCTCAGAAAGTATTACTTGAAGGGCAGCTAGGTGGTGCAGTGGATAGAGCTCTGGCCTTGGAGTCAGGAGGACCTGAGTTCAAATCTGACCTCAGACAATTGACACTTACTAGCTGTGTGACCCCAGGCAAGTCACTTAATCATGATTGCCTCGCCAAAAAGCAAAAAAAAAAAAAGTATTGCTTGGAGAGAGGATCCTGGGAAGATGGTGGAGTAGGACAGAAAATTCCAAACTCTCCAGATTTCCTCCACAAATAAGACAAAATAGCAGCTCGGGGTGAACATAGAGTGGTAAAAATAAAGAAGAGTTGGGGCAGAACAGTCCCAGGACAACCAGAGAAGATCCTGAGGTTTGGTCCCTGTGAAGTGTAAACACCTCTGGGCTATTTCCACTGAAAGAACAAACCTAAGTTAAGGGGTAGCCTCAGCTCCAGCCACAGGAATTTTTACCTCCTGGACAGTGTGGGCAGGGGACTGAGGGAACCTCTGCTGATAAGGGATGCCAGGCCCAGCTGCGCTGCTGGGAAGTGGCCCTGAGTGAGAAGGAACCAACATATACCCAGTGAGTACAGATGCAGTGGGACAGGGATGCTGCTGGCTGTGGGCACTTTCAGGAGGGTGGAGTTCTTGGTTTCAGTTTTAGGCCAGAGGGGAGAACTGAAGGAGCATCTGAGGCCAGAAACACCATCCCTCATACCCCAGTACTAGAAGGGATTACAATAACAAGCTGCTATAATTTTATTTTTTAAGTGAGCAAGCAAAGGAGAAAGAACCCAACCATAGAAAGTTGCTATGGGACTAGAGAAGACCAGTGTTCATCTTCAGAGGAGGATATTGAAGCAAAAAATAATAAAAAAAAAAGCATCTCCTACCCCAAAGAGTAATGTCAAATGCTCACCTGCCCCGAAAGAATTCATAGAAGAAGTTTTAAAAGACTTTAGATAAATAAATCAAATGAGAGAGATTGAGGAAAATTAAAAAAACAAACGAGAATAATCCATGAAACACAAGATTATGAAAGAAAGTCAACCAACTAGAAAAGAACATCCAGAATCTTAAGGAAGAAAATGACTCCTTGAAAATTAGAATTGGGCAAGGTAACAAAACAAAATATAAAGAATGAAAAAGTAGAAGAGAAAGTGAAACATCTCATGAAAAATAATTGATCTGGAGAACAGATCAAGAAGAGAAAACATTAGAATAATTGGACTACCTGAAAGCTACAATCAAAAAAAGAATCTTGTTATGATAATGCAAGAAATAATTAAAGAAAATTGTCCTGAAGTGTTAGAACAAGAGGGCAAAGTAGAAATAGAAAAACCCACCAATCACCACCTTAAAGAGATCCTAAGAGGAAAACCTACAAGGAATATCATAGCTGGATTCTGAAACCCCCAGCTCAAGGGGAAAAAAAAAACAATTTAAATATGGCAGAGCCACAATTAGAATCACATAAGACCTAGCAGTGGCTATACTAAAAGACTTCAGGTCTTGAAACACTATATGTCAAAGAGCAAAAGAACTGGAGTTGTGGCCAAAAATATCATACCCAGCAATGTTAAGCATAATCCTGAATGAAAAAAAAAAGTGGATATTCAATGAATTGTCAGACTTTTAGGATTTTGTTGCAAAAAGACCTGTAATCAACAGAAAATTTGACATAACAAGATCCAAGAAAAATGTAAGGTAAACATCAAAGACTAAATTATAAGGTGCTAAATAAGGACAGACTGTTTACTTTTTATACAAGGAAATATAAATTGTATGTCAAAGATTGTTATTAGTAATTAGGTAGTTTAAAAGAAAGATTCAGGTAGAGCTAAGTGTGATGCAAAACTAATAAGTAAACCATCTAGGAAAAGGTAAAAAGAGCAATTATCTTACACAAATGAAGTGTGAGAGGAAGTACTGACACAGAGGAATTCGATGGGGAAGGAGGGCTGGTAGTTCTGGAACTCAATGAGAATAGGTGAAAGACGGAACAATACATATATATCTAGAAGGACACAGAAATCTTCTAAATTCAGAAAGAAATAAAAGGCTAAGGGGATAAGGAGGGGGAGAAGATAAGGGAGGGATTTTTGGTGGGGGGATAGGTTAAGTAAAAGGAGGGCAAGGTAGCAGGTAGAAATCAAGTCAGGAAAGATAGGAAATAAGAGATACACAAAAACATAAAATAAAGATCAGGAGTAGAATTTTATTAGGGGAGTAATCATGATCTCCGACAAAATCAAAGCTAAAATAGATTTAATCAAAAGAGAAAAGTCATTTGTCAGTCATATTACTCAGTATTGTTTTAGACTATTTAAAATAACTACACAGTATAAGGTTGGAATATCACTGTGGTACAGGAAGCTATAAGTTGGTGAACTTAGAAAAAAATGGAAAGACTTGGACCTATGAAGGAAGGTGTTATCCACCTTCAGAGAAACAAAGGACAAGTATAGTACATATGAATGTACATATCTATATATTAGTATGATTATAGATATCTAAGTATACGTACATATATGTAAGTGCAGGTATGTATGTGTCTATGTATGTAATATACATTTGTGGGTATATGTGTGTGGGTGTGTATATATACATATATATATATATATATATATATATATATATATATATATATACACACATCCACACACATATATAAATATAATTATATCAGTGCTCAATTGCAGCCTTCTTGTGGAAGGAAGAAGATGGGGGTAAAAAGAACAAAGTAAAAAATGCACAGCAGAGAACAAATGAAAACTTATAAGGAAGCAAAGAAAGGATGGACAGATCGGAACATAATGTGTAGTATTTACTATATAGGCTTTCTTGAAATGGAAATTTATTGCTGTATATTTTGAATCCTCTCATGTTCTTCTGTGCACATGGCAATGCTTCTTTTGCTTTTCTTATTGTGCATTCAAGTTTAAGTATTTAAGTTTAAAATAAATTATATTTTAAAAAGTATTGCTTGAATGAGAAAGGAGGTGGATCTAGTTTGCAGAGATGGGGGAGTATAACTGAGGAACATTACATACACTGCATTGACATGTTGGACTTGTGTTGATTAATTTTGTGGAATTGTGTTTTTTCTTTCTTTTTTATTTGTTATTAGGGTTGGCTGGGTTTTTTTCTTTCTTTTTTGTTTGTTATTAGGGTTGGCTGGGGTTTTTTTCTTTCTTTTTTATTTGTTATTAGGGTTGGCTCTCTGAGTGAGGGAGAGAGGAGGGAATATTAGGAAAGAAGCTGATATAAAATCCAAATGTTTCCTTTTTTCTTTTTCTGAAATTGAAAGGAAAAAAGGAGTGAGGGAAAAGCCAGTGACTGAGTGAATAACCAGTGAATATACCCACCCTGTACTGGGGGGAGTAGTTAAGGGGAGTAGGTTCACCTGCTCCACACCTGCCCTTGTGGTGTACTATCTAACTATGATTCACAGTACAAGGTGGACTAGACACCATTGGCTTTCTCTATTAGGACTTCCTAATCCCTATCCCTACATACATAACTCCCCACCCCGGCCATATGCACACACATACACACACATACACACAAAATAGTGTTCAAACTTGGTAATAAGCAAGGATGTCCTATATCTGGTCTTTGAGTTCAAAATAATTTGCTGACCCCTATATTAGACCTTGAATAGAGCCAAACAGTTGGAAGAAATGGGAATATTTAATCTGAAGCCTTAAGGGGAACATGATGGCAGGACATGTTTCTTCTGATATAATGTGAGTTCCTTGGAGGCAAAGATTGTTTTGTTTTTGTCATTGTATCCCCAATGGGTAACACATTGCTTGGCACAGAGCAGGTGCTCAATAAATGCTTGTCAGTTGATTGATTGAAGCATGCAAGGACTGTCACATGAAAGAGAGATTAGACTCATTCTGCTTGGCCTCTAATGTGAGGAGTAAGAGCCAAGGACGGTAGTGGCAAAGAAGCATGTTTAGGTTTGTTCTTAGAGAAATGTTCCTGACAATTAGAATTACTTCAAAGTGGAGTGGGTTGCCCAGACTCAGGAGGTAGTAGGTTCCTCCTTGTTTAGGGTCTTTAAGCAAAGGTTGAATACTGACTCTCCAGGGTTGTTGAAGAAGACTTTGTTGTTCAGATGTGAACTGGACGAGAAGCCATATCAGGTCCCTTCCCACTCTGATTTTATGATTCCAAATACCCTTTCAGTTCTAAACTGATGCTCTTAGGATATCAAATATGTTTCTAAGGGTAACTTTTTCGAAGAGGAAGAAAAGACTGCAGAAGGATGCACAGAAGCAGAAGAGAAGGAAGATCAGACTCACAAGGGGAAAGGAAGCAGACAAATATTCTGGAAGAGGAGGGACATTGAACATAGTCTCTCATGACTTTTCAATTTTGCCGGTCTTAACCTTGAGACTCAAATGAAAAGTCAATTGAGTTGTCCAACACTTAGTGCCTGATGACAGACTAAATCAAATTAGAGTGGTAACCAGGGTGAGTGACTGGGGCTTTGACACAGGGTAGAAATATTAAAGGGTACTGACAACACTGTCCTAATTGTTGACCCTACAAACATAGTGGGAGGCAGGAGATGGATGGCTCACCCTTTCAGTGCTTTATTCTCTTCCTGCCCACCCCCTGAGAAAGCAATAACCAAAGATACTTCTTCTCCTAACCTATGGTGATATCTCAGGCACTAACTCCCAGATGAAGCTATCCCTTACCCCTATCTTGCCCCATGTACATTAACTGCTAGTTAAAGCTTTGTTAGCGGTGTTTACCATTAGTGCCAAAGAGGTAGAAAGCTACTCACATGGAGGAAGGGAGAGCCCAGAAGAACCATAACTTCATCTATTAATCTCAATAAAGTAACAAATGTTGGGTCTTGGTAATCAAACCGGTCTCCAAAGAGCAGAAGAAAAGTGACATTGGTTGGTGCCATGTTGAATAATTTCAACTTGAAAGGTTTACCTGCAAGGGCAAAAAAACAAAAAACCAAAAATAACCCAAACCAACAACCCCAATACATTAGGAGATACCAAATTCATGTTCCCAAACAAACTTGTCTATAGCCAAAAAAAAAAAAAAAGATTGGCATCAAAGATTTCACCTTTGAAAGAATCTATCAATCCTGCCAGAAAGCTAAATTCTTCCAGAATCTTCTTCACCATCAGCTTTTTCCCCATCCCAAGGTTGTGCATGCTAGACATGGTAAATTTGCGAGTGGTTTTCCATAGTTCCCCAGATGAGAAAAATATACCTGTGGGGTGAATGCATTGCAAGTTATTCCTTTACTAGAAATGTCCCACCACCTCATTCCCTTTCATTCATCCCCTGCCAAAGTCCCCAAGACAGCCAAATACAACACACACACACACACACACACACACACACACACACACACCACACACACACACACATGCATATTGAAGCAGGAGTCAGGAAGCTATCATTGCTGAAATAGGGTTTCAAAGACAAAGTTCCATGGCCTGGAGACACACTTCTTTGAAGACTTCCATCCATCTCCTGACCCAGAAGATGATTTGGGAAGAGGCCTAATGTTGATACTCTCCTAGTAGCTAGAGGCTCTTTAGGAGAAATTTATAACTAGGGAGCAGCAGCTCATAAAAGCCCTATACTCTCTTATCTTATTAAATATCAATGCAGTCTCAGCAGATGTTATTGGAACAACCATCCTCTCATCCATCCATCCATCCATTCATCTATCCATTCATTTAGTCTTTTCATTAGTTCCCTTGATATTCTGGACCTTTTGTTATTCCAAATCAATCTTGTTATTATTTTTTCTAACTCTATAAAATAGTTTTTTGGTAGTTTGATTGGTATAGCACTGAATAAGTAAATTAGCTTAGGTAGAACTGTCACTTTTATCATATTAGCTCGGCCTACCCATGAGCAACTAATGTTATTTAGATCTGACTTTATTTGTGTGAAAAGTGATTTGTAATTGTGTTCATATAGTTCTTGGGTTTGTTTTGGTAGGTAGATTCCTAAATATTTTATAATGTCTACAGTAACTTCCATTCATTCACTCTTAAAGAGCTAATCTATGACAACCAACCCTAGCATAGCACTACCTTATTGCTACTCTGCTATCTGACTTGAAAGGCTTTGAATTCTGTCGACCCTTATCTATGGTTCTCTGACTCCGACTTTGGCTCCCCATCACTTCTTCTGCACCCTCAGCCCCATTACTCTCCCATTTTATCTGACCCAGGTTGGCTTTCATCTGCTGTTTTCTACTCCCAGCCAAACAGCCTCCCCGCCTGTTCTTCCTCCTCTGTTTTCTGTAGCCTTAGAGAACCACAGACAGCACCTGCCACTGAGTAACTCCTTCCCACAAGAGAGCTGTGTTCAAATGTCCTGTGTTTTACTAATGGGTTGTATGACCCAGTACAAATCATCTTTATCGCTGCTGTCAACATCAGCAAACATTTATTAAGTGCCAATTGTATGCAAGTTACTGTAAGAGTTTGGAAGAAATAAAAAGTCACTTAATTTCAACTAGCCTCAGTTTCTTCATCTTCATCATCATCATAATACTAAGCAGTATGGCATAGTAGACAGAGTGCTAAAATTGGATCCAGGAAGATTGAGTTTGAATGTAACCTTGGATGCTTACCACCTATTTAAGCAAGTCTGTTTACCTCTCTGGGTCTGAGTTCCTCATCAGCTAGGAGACTAGCTGACTGCTAAAGCCCCTTCCAACTTTCATTCTATGATGCTATGACTTACTATATGACACTGTGCCAATCACTTCTGAGTGTCTATTTCTTCATCTATAAATAATGTTATTAGCATTATATGGCACTTGAAGAATTGCAAACCAATCTAGATATGTTATCTCTCATTTGATCCTTACTTTGAGATAAATCCTCAATTTACAGATGAGGAAACAAGTGGAAAGAGATTAAGTGACTTATCCTGGGTCACACAGTTAATAAGTATCAGATCCAAGATTTGAACTCGGGTCTTCCTGACTCCAGGTCCAGCACTCTATCCACCCACACCACCACCTAGCTGCCTCTAGGGAGTGTATACACTCCAGATGTTCACATGAACTATTTCTGCCTGACCTGTGATAGAGCCTTCCAAGCTTGTATTGGTTTGATCAGCCACAGTCAGACATGCTGTACGTATCTTGACTCCAATAAAATGATGTCATTTTAGTCTTCTTCAAGAATGAAGGACAACAGAGGGAGTGTAAATTCCTTTGAAGCTTCATGATTTCAATAAATCACTTCACAGACCTTAACAAAAAATTTTGATTGATATCTTTGGTTTTCACATTACCTTTATTTCTGAACATACCCCTCTCCCCTGCCCAGAAATCCATCCCCTTTAGCAAAGTGTAAAGGAGAGAAGTTCTGGAAAACTGACACATCACCCTAGTCTGGCAGTTCATTTGATGCTCTGCATCCATGATCCCCTTCCTCTACAGCTCACAGGCTGCTTGTGACCCACCAAAGGATTTTGGGCAGCCCACGAAAAATGTAGAGGTTGTAAAAGAAAGTGAAGTTGTAGTGAGTGCTTTGTCTGTGCCCTGCTTAACCCGCCGTGGAGGGTGGGTTGCCACGGCATACTCGCTCCTGTTTGTCACGTGAGCCATGGCAACCAACCACCATCAGTCTGTCTCTAGTCTGAGAGGAGCAAGAGTTGTATCTTTTTGTTGTGTTTTTGGTCATTACTGGCATTGAAGGGACTGAGTGCTGCATGCCAACACAGCTGACATCCACTATTCAATGAGCAGCAACAAGGTGAGAGTTTCTTCTCCTCCTTCGCTGCGCAGCCGCCCTCCAAGTTACGTGAGTGTCTGGAGCGCTCTCCAGGGTCAGACACTCAGTTCAGTATTTCTTTGTATATGAGCAGTTGCCGTGGAGATTTTTCAGTTCTATCATTAAAGTTTTTGGGGTGACTTTGTAAAATGGATGACAAAAAGAAATGGCAGACTGAATCAGAACATAGAGGAGTGGACAAATAGATCCTTGTTTTCTTACATGAGAGACAAAATATTGTGCCTTGTTTGCCGAGAAGTAATAGTCATTTTGAAGGAACACAATCTTTGTCACCATTTCAAGTCAAAACATCCTGACTTAAGCAAATTGGACACCAATGAAAAACAAATTGAAAGCGTCCAAATTGTTGAAAAATCTCAGAGGAGAACAACCGTTTTTCACAAAAGTAAATTCAGAAAATGAGGCAGCTACTAAGGTTAGTTTTTCAGATTTCTAAAGAAATTAATTTCAAACATGATTCCGGAGTATGATAAACTGATTGCTGACAAAAAGTGTAATGCGTTCCATTAACTAAAGGTAAACAGTGAGAAAATCTGAAAAATGTATTAAAAATTGTACCAGTTAGGAAAGTAATTTTTTAATATTAATGTGATTGCGTGATAAATAAAAATCTTAATAAGTGTAATAAGTGATAATAATTGAAATTTCCCTCTTTTAATATGGTTTATTAGCAAAATAGTTTAATCACTAATTATACCTTTACTTGGAAAGCGAATCACTAAAAATCTACTTATGGCCTGAAGAAGTTTAGCCTATTTTAATTTTGGCCCCTGCCTACTGCCAAGTTGTCCAGGTCTGCTCTACCGAAAAGGAAAGCGGCTATATTATAGGCAGGCCCTGACTCTGGCCAGTCTGCTGGTAGTTTAGGTTTACAGTATTGCTCCTACTACAAGGCACTTTCTCGTATCTTTTCTTTAGGTCATTATTATTTGGTCATCGTAATTACAGGGTTAAGTTTGAAGGGTTTTGGATTATTCTTTCCACTTAGACTGTTGTAGTCAGTATATTTTTTCCTGTTCCTGCTTCACTTACAAATTTTAAAGTGCATTGTTGTTATTATTATTGTTGCTATTATTACTATTGCACTGGCTGCTTCACAGGGTTTGATAAAGATTGCATGAGATGACACATGTCCAAAGCTCTTTGAAAGGGATAAAGCTCTGTTGCAACACAAAATAGTATTGTGAAAAAACATGAAATCACTTTCTTCCACTTATTTATTTTATTTTATTTTTTGGTGAGGCAATTGGAGTTAAGTGACTTACCCAGAGTCACACAGCTAGTGAGTGTTATGTTGTCTGAGGCCAGATTTGAACGCAGGTCCTCCTGACTCCAGGGTCAGTGCTCTATCCACTGCACCACCTAGCTGCCTCCTTCCATTTATTTTCAACCCAGTCCTTCATTAATTTGAGACTCAACACACACACATACACACACACACACGTATGTATGTATGTTTATATGTATATGTATGTATACGCACATACATATACACACATATATACAATATACACATACGTGTGTGTATATATATACATGTGTGTATGTGTGTATGTATCCCTAGGCCTGGGGGCACATGCTCAATTGCATGGCCATACTAGCAAAATTATGAAAGCAAAATAGGAGCAAATGGCTGCTCTGAGAGACAGTTGCCTTGGCTTACTTGGGCACTTGGGGGGGAGGGGAGACACATCTGGGAGGTTCTCCTCTTCCTCCCACCCCCATCATGCCCAGTGAGGGTCAATATTGTCTTAACCACATACCCTGGCCTTCCTGGATGTGCTGGAATATGGGAATGGGTGGTCGGTCAGCAAACTCCTCGGCAGAGTTGACCAGCGCCTCTCTTACAGCCTCGTAGCCAGTCAGCACCACCATTTTCTGGAGACCAAAGTGAATGGTGAAGATGGGGCCATACTCTTCTGAAATCTGGGGAGGGGGCACAAGGGTCATACCATCAGTGGTCATCAGTGGAAAGAAAAAGATGGTTGTCATATAATACATGGGTTTATAAATGCCTTCTCTGATTAAACTGTAGGATTCTTATGGACTAAATTGCAAATTGAGAAGAACATCACAAAAGATTAGAATTGGAAATTACCAACTGTCCAACTCCCTCGTGTTAAGTAAACTTGCATCTCTGGATTCTCAGGCCAGAATCCCTTCCATAACATGGTATTGCCTCTTACAAACCACTTAACAAATGTACGACCAGTGGAAAAATGTCCAAACAATGCCCTGGGGGTGCAATAAGACAGCAGTATGGCCAGAAAAGGCTGAACCTGTGGTCAAGAAAGGCTTGGATTCAAATCCTGCCAGAGTTGACCAATGCTTCTTTCACAGCCTCATAGCCAATTAGCACCACCATCTTCTGGAGACCAAAGTGAATGATGAAGATGGCGCCATGTCTCTCTGAAATCTGGGCAGGGGGAACAAGGGTGCCCCTGACCCCAGGGGAAGTCACTTAACCTGTATGTGCCTCAGGCAACATCTAGGATTTATCTACCAAGTCACATACAGGTTGTATTGGTACTGGGGGAAAGAGTCTCCACACCAGGATGGTATAGTAGAAAGAATGCTCACTTTGTAATCAAAAGGCCACAGTTCAAATCTTGACTCTGCTACGTACTTCTGACATGAGGTGAGGCAAATGATTTAAACTCCCGGGCCTCAGTTTCCTCATCTATAAAATGAAGAATTCGGACTAGATGGCCTCTGAGATTTCTTCTAGATCTGTTATCTTATGATACATATTATGATTACATATGCTTCAATTATTTGGAGAATTTGTGACAATTTAAAATTTTCAGCCAAATATTCAAGTCCATCAGTTGTCCCTCCACCCTGCAGACTTTCTAGGAGACCTCTAACCATTCAATTACTTTTGTTGAATCCCTGCTTTTTTTTTTTTGGCCAGATCTGGGTCAATATTCTCCTCCAGTTTTTGCATCCCCAAGGAGATGGGTGTCTGTCCCCCATTTCTGAGAATGAGGTTTGATACAGAAAGAAGGTGAGGGGAAACAGGACCAGCAGGTTGAGATTAGGAGCTGGGAAGCCGAGATTTCAGACCTTCCCAGGAGTGAGTGCTTCAGCATAAGATTTAAAAATTTTTTAGTTTAAAATTTTAAAACTAACATTGTTCATTTCACTTTCACTACAGTAAAGGATCCAACTTTCCTGCTCTCCTTGAGAGCAAGGAATGAATTTCTCTTTTTTCTCATTTTTATTGATTTGGAGGCTTGGTGGGGTTGTTGTTTTTTTTTAATAACACCTTCATTTCCAAGTATATCTGTCCTCTATCATTCACCAGAAGTCATCCCTTATAGCAAAGAATTAAAAAGAAAAGGAAAAAACAAACAGTTCAACAAGACTGACCAAAGCTTTAACACAATCTGACAATGTAACAATATATTTCATACCCAGAGCCCCTACTTCCACGAAGAAGGAAAGGAGGGGCATTTCCTCAGCTCTCCTTCAGGGCCATACTTGGTGATTCTAATCACATGGTGTTCTGTTTTGTTTTGTTCTTTACGTTTTTTTTTTTTTGGTTGACATTTTGGTAGTCATTGTGGATATTTTTCCTGGTTCTATTTACTTCACTCCATATAAGTCTCTCCATGACTCTTTGTAGTCTTCACAAACATCATTTCTTACTTACTGCATAGAAATATTCTATTACATTCATGTACCACGATTGCTACATCTATTTCCCAATTGATGGGCATCTACTTTGTTTCCAATTCTTACTACGAACAGTGAGGAGCAGATTTGAAAAAATGGTTGTGATTCAGCTTTAGTCAAATGTCTTCTAGTCTTTATATGAAGTGAACAATACATTATAGACATAAGAAATTGAGATTAGGATCTTCATAGGACGACAGTGAACATGGACCAAATAAACTGTGAATTATTATCATTAGGTAACTCATAGAGAAGTACTTCAGCTTAGTGTCTAGAAAGCCAGCCTCATAGCCAGGAAAACTTGGGTTCAGGTCTTGACTCTGACACATATGGGCTGTGTGGCACTAGGAAAGTCACTCAACCTTTCAATGTTTTAGGAAACTTTTTAAGACTATAAGTTTTAGGAAAGGTATTGCCATATTGGTAGAGGTGAGGCAATTGGAGAGAGCTTCAGATTTGGAGTCAAGAGGATCTAATTTCAATTCCTGCCTTAGACACTTACTAGCTGTATGACTCTGGGTAAGTCACTTAACCTCAGTTTCCTTATCTGTAAAAATGGGAATAAAAAGAGCACATGCCTCCTAGATTTGTTGTGAGGATCAAATGAGATAATATTTGTAAAGTGCTTTGCAAACCTTAAAGATCTATAGAAATGCTAGCTATTATAATGATTAATTATTGTTATTACTGTTGTTAATTTCCTCACATGTAAATTTCCTATGTGAATGAAATCACAGGTCTGGTCTCTATGCCTATTCATACTTAGGCTTGGGTCCTAACAGGAAAATCTAGGACATGAGAGACCCAGGAAGGTCCCACTTATGCATGGACAAAGGGACTGAAAGGAGAACTCAGGACAAGAACCTGCTACAGCTACTATCAGAGCTCCATATACTGGATCACAGATTGAGAGCTAGAAGGGAACTAAAAAGTCGTATAATCCAGGGGTACATTGACTTAGAAAACCACAAATTAACATTATCTATGTTGTATTGTATTTTTATTTATTTTGTTAAGTTGTTGTTTAGTCGTTTCAGTCATGTCCAACTCTTCATGACCCCTTTTTTGGGGGGTTTTCTTGGCAGGGATACTGAAATAGTTTGACACTTCCTTCCCCAGTTTGTTTTACAGATGAGGAAACTGAGACAAATAGGATTAAGTGACTTGCCCAGGGTCACACAGCTAGTAAATGTCTGGGGGCCAGATTTGAACTCATGAAGATGAGTCTTCCTGATTCCAAGCCCAGTGCTCTTTGCACTGCATCAGCTAGCCACTCTATTTTGTCAAGCATTTCCCAATTACATTTTATTCTAGCTCCAGTGACACTCCAGAGTTTTGCAGAAGTTTAGGGTCCTCTGATAGCAAGTTTGACACCTCTGAAATCCACTTATTTTTACAGATGAGGAGACTGAGGCACAGAGAGGTTAAGAGACTTTCCTGAGGTCACACAAGTGTTAAATGGCAGAGCTGTGACTTGAACTTAGGCCATCTAGCTTCAAACCTAATATTCTTTCCACTATGCCAGCCACCTCTCTCCTCTTGGTGCTCATGTAAAGCAGCTGTTCCTACAGGGTGACACATCACCTGCTTTATAGAACGCTGTAGCTAGATGAGACCTTAGTTTCTAGTTTATCTATTCCCATTTCACAGATGAGAATACTGAAGCTTGGGCTACACTTAGTGGCCTGCTTATCAATGTCAGAGTCACATCTAAAAATCTGGTTCCCCAGCCCCCACAACATTGCTCTTTCCACCACATCACAAGTGATCTTCTTGTTCCATTTTAAATGGGATCAATTTCAGAACGTCTGTTTACAAATCAGCTATGAATGAATTACATGTTCAGGGATGAAGAGGTGGTTGAAATTAGAGTGGTTCATGGTAAATAGAAAGCTGGGGTTAAAGCCAGGAAGACTTGACATCCCTTCTAACATTCCTCATTTTTCCATTTCTGCCAATCTGATAAGTGTGGGGTAGTACCTCAGAGTTGCTTTAATTTACATTTCTCTAATCAATAGTTATTTGGAGCATTTTTTCATCTAAGTCACTTACTTTCTTAGCACACTAGCAACTCTCTAAGATTAAGTCACAGAGAAGGTATTGACCTGCCTTGTTAGAGGAAGTATTCTCACCTGGGTGTTTCTTATGCCAATTAAGTCACAGGTCTAGTGCCTATCTCTCTCTTGCAACAAGAAGAAAGTTGATGAAAGATTACTCTGGCAACAGGGATATGTGTGTGTGGGGGGGATATAGGTGTGAGTGTGGGTGTGACGAGAGACATATTGAGGAATGATGAGACTGATAAGACTGAAAAAGATTAAAGTGGGAGTCAATCTTGTCCATCTGGTACTTTTTCTAATTCTCCCTCTTCCATTCCTCCTTTCAATCTTAGTCCCAAGAGGATCGTCATAGGAAATGAGAGAGAAGTAACAAGTATGTCTTCCCAAATCTCTTGTCATCTCCTTTGGGGTCATCCTCCCAGGGATAGAGGCAGAAGGCTTGGCAGAAGATATTACTACTACTTTTCACTATTCTACCATCATCAGTGGGGAAAGAGGATTTCTGAGATATCTGCTATGTTGGGGTCAACTCCTGAGAAATACTGATCTCATCTAGAGTAACAGCAATTAGGTCATTAGACCCTGTTGCCACCCAGCAGATTTCTGGGTCACTGTCTCCATCATCAGTGTACATGAGCTCAGTGAAGAAGACTCCTTTTTATATTGGCTAACTGGATTTTAACACATGATTAGAAGGGTAAATCTGTTGGCCCCCCCAAAAAATATCTAGACCATAAAATTCATTCAAAGCCAAGTTGCAATTATTTGACTTATGAATGCCACTTCTTACCCTCCAGTGGTGTGAATGACTGAATTGTCTTATGGATGACTATTGTTTAAAAAAAGAAAAGCATATGTTATTAAACAGGGCATCATACTATGTTGTTGCTACTGTTGTCCAAGAGCTCCCACTCTCAAGTCAACAAGCATTTATTCCACATTTGATTTTTTTTTAGGCGATTGTGGTTAAGTGACTTGTCCAGGGTCACATAGCTAGTAAGTATCAAGTGTTTGGTCTGAGTCCAGATTTGAACTCAGGTCCTCCTGATTTTACGGCCAGTGCTCTATCCATTGCACCACCTAGCTTCCCCTCAAGAAGCATTTATTAAGCACCTACTATGTACCAGGCATTGTGCTAAGGACTGGGATACAAAGAAGGTGGGGGTTCCACTTTCAAGGAGTTCACAG